GTCTGGTGTCAAAAGGGCAAGGTTCAGACCTGTGACACTGTTGCCTAGCTGACACGCCTGCCCATGCTTCCTCAGAGACAGCAGTAGTTTGTTCTGCACAGGAACAAGTTAGGCATTCTCTAAAATGATTTTTCATGTCTTTCTAATTATTATTTTAAAATATAAAGAGGAAGTAGTGACAAAGAAGAAATTGTAATAGCCAGGGCCTATCATTTACATGCTGGCAGTCTCTCTGAAACCTTCTGCCTGGTTCACAAGTGTGTGTTCTGTGTGTGCTAGGATCTTTTGGATGACCTGAAATCAGAACTGACTGGAAAATTTGAAAAATTAATTGTAGCACTGATGAAGCCCTCTAAGCTCTACGATGCCTATGAACTGAAGCATGCTCTGAAGGTAAAAGGATGCCCTGAGAAATACATTCTCTAAATTACATTATTGCTTCCTATTATTTTTTTATGTTTAATTTTAAAAATAATTATGTCAGGCATTCTTCAGAAATATAGAAAGTGAGTACTAATTGCTTTTTGTTGATCTGGAAATTGTAACAAACCAGCATTACATTTGATGTAACTTTTGTTGCTAGATTTCTTGATGGCGTCACTAAGAACTTAGTTTGGGGGCAGTGGTTTCTTTCTGAGCTACGGATTGTGTGACCATCCGTACTCCTCCACGTAAATTCTGTAGAGCTTTCTTTCTTCTTTTTTTTCACTATCTCATCCTTCTTAAGAAACAACCTATTTTATGTTTTATTAAAGTGCTTTGCTTTTACACTATTTAGAATTAAATTGATTAAATAACAAATGTATGTACTTTATATGTTATCCAACATTCAACGTTGTCATATTATAGTAGCTTGTATGTTGTTAGGATGCTAGAAGTTCTGCCACTAATTTTTCAAGTAGCACCAAGGTCATCCATGGACAGGGTTTAGTGGCATCCTAGATTAAGAACAGATTAGAAAGAAGAACTTAGTAAATCTTGTAAATTAAACACCATATGAATCGAACAGAATATTATCTGAATGCATGCTGACAGGTGGGTTCCTTAGGCTGAAAGACACTCAAGATACAACTGGGAAAGCGCAGCCTTCTCAAAGTAGAGTCAGCCTTAATGATGTGGGCATAGTAAGCTTGCGAGAACTTCATTGACTGATGTGATATGACTTCAAATGGGAAGAAACAGTTATAAACACCCAATAATAATCAAAACGTGGAACATACAAAGTATGGATCCTGGAAACTTAGAAGTTGTCAACAATGAAATAGAAGGCTTAAAGATCAATATCCTAGGTATTTGTGAGCAGAAATGGATTGGCATTTTGAATCAGAAAATCAGATGCTATGGAATTCTAGGAGTGATAAATTGAAGAGAAACAGCATCACATTCATGTTTAAAAAGAACATTTCAAGATCTTTCAGGAAGAACAAACTCTCAGTGATAACATTATATCAATATGCATACAGAGAAGTTCAGTTATTATCACTAGTACTCAAATTAATTAGCAACCACTAGTGCCAGAGATGAAGAAATTGAAGTTTTTATCAAATTCTGCAGTCTGAAGTTGATTAAACATGCAATCAAAATGCACTGATATGACTGGTAGTTGGAACTGTGAAAATTGGGAAGAAAGAAGATGAATTTATAATATGGTCTTGGTGATAGAAACGAAACAGGAGATCACATAACAGAATTTTACACATAGCAGAATTTTACAAGATCAGTGACTAGTTCATTGGAATTCCTTTTTCAGCAACTTAAATTGACACTCTACCATGTGGATTTCATTAAAAGGGATATACAGGAATCAAACCAACTCAGTATCATCATTCAGATGAAGGTTAACGACTGACTGTGGAATGGACCATCGATTATGAAATGAGTCCACCAGAACCAAAGTGAACCCTTGAGTCTATCCCACCTGAGTTTAAAGATGATCTGAAGATGTAACCTATTAAATATTGGAAACTTAAGAGCAGATGAGTTGTGGTGTGACATCAAGGACATGAAGAAAGCAAAAGGACATTAAAACGACAGGAAAGAAAAGTCCATAATTGTGTTAGAAGAGACTCTGAAACTTGCTCTTAAACATAAAGTAGCTACAGGAAGAAGCAATGAGGTAAAGCTGAACGGCACATTTCAAAGGTCTGTTCAAGAAGACAAAGTAAAGTATTGAATTGTTCAGGGACTTGGTAGGAGAAAACCAAAAGCCAAATTCATTTTTCAAGTCAAAAGAACTAAAAAAGGAATCAAGCCTTGCATTGTAATATTGAAGGAATCTGTGGATAAAATATTGGACAATACAGGAAGCATGAAAAGAAGGTAGAAGGGACACAGAGTCATGTATCAAAAAGAATTGGTCAATATTTAACCATTTCAGGAGGTATTCTATGATGTATTGAACGGAGAGTCCAAGCTGCACTGAAACTCAAATTGCATTGATTCGATGCCTAGTCATAGTGACCCTGTAGGACAGGTTGACCTGCCCCTCTGGGTTTCTGAAACTCTAACTCTTTACTGGAGCAGAAAGCCCCATCTTTCTCCCCAGGAGTGGCTGGTGGTTTTGAGCTGCTGACCTTGCAGATCACAGCCCGATGTGTAACCACTGTGTCACCAGGGCTCCATAGGCATTGGCAAGAAATAAGGCTCAAGAATGAAAGAATTCCAGTGGGGAGGTTTCAGCAAGTAGTTACAACACTGGAAGTGCTCGCTGATCCATATCCAGAAATTTGTAAGCCGGACAACTGGAACCTTTTGCACATTTGCACCCATTTTTGAGAAAAGTGATGTGGAACAGGATGTGGAAATTATCAATCATTCATATCAGACACTAATAGTTTTATGCTGACAATATTAAAAAAGTGTACATCAGTAGAGAACTGCCAGAAATTCAAGCTACAGTCATAGGAGGATATCGAACAAAGGATATCAGCAAGGCTGGATCTTAGCTGAGAGCAGAGAAAAGCAGTAAGATGTTTACTTGTGATTTATGACTGGGCGGATCATAACAGATTAGGGATAACATTGCAAATAATGGCAATGCCAGAGCACTTAATTGTGCTCCTGTGTACCTGTGCATAGACCAAGAGGTCTATGTGGTTTGAACAGAGCAAAGGGATATGGAGTAGTTTAAAATCAGGAGAGGATGTGTGTCAAGGTTGTATTCTTTCACCATACTTATTCAGTGTGTATGCTGAGCACATCATTCAGGAAGCTGGACTGTAGGAAGAAGAACACAGCATGCATAAACCTCAATAGTTTAGATGGCACAACCTTGCTTGCTGAAAAAGGAAGAAGACCTAAGTTCTTGCTGATAAAGATCAGACTGCAGCCTTCAGTATGGGTTACACCTGACCATAAAGAAAACAAAAATCCTCACAACTAGACAAATAAACAATGTCATCATGATAAATGGAGAAAAGATTAAAGTTGTTTAGGATTTCATTTTACTTGGATCCACTATTAACACCCACGGAAGCAGCAGTTAAGAAATCAAACAGTGTTTGGCCTTGGGCAAATCTGCACATCTATTTAAAGTGTTAACAAGAACAAAGATTCCACGTTGTGGAGTTAAGTGGTGCTTGACCCAAGGTAGGGTGTCTTCCATAACCTCATATATGTATGAAAGCCAGACAGTGAATAAGGGAGGCTGAAGAAGAATTGAGATCTTTAAATTATGTTGTTGGCAAAGATTGTTGAATATATCATGGCCTGCCAGGAGAATCCACCTATCTGTGTTTGAAGAAGTGCGGCCAGAATGCTCCTTACAAGGGAACACGAGGAGGCGTGGCCTCACTTACCTTGGATGTATTTTCAGGAGGGACTTGTCCCTGGTGAAGGCTGTCGTGCTTGATAAAGTAGACGGCCATTGGAAAAGAGGGGCAGCATTCCTGTGATGGATTGATACAACCATGGGCTCACATAGCAACAAGTGTGAGGGAGACTCAGCACGAGGCAGTGCTTTGCTCTGTTGTAGGGTGGGTACTACGAGTCAGAATCAGTTCCACAACACTTAGCAATCGTAATATTACCGTATATACTCGCGTATGAGCCGAGTTTCCCAGCACATTTTTAATGCAGTTTTTGTGGTAAGATTAGGTGCCTCGGCTGATAGTCGGGTCGGCTTATACTCGAGTATGTACCATGGATATCATCTATTACAAACATACCCATGCAATAAACATTGCTTTACATTAGACCAAAAAAAAAAGTCTTTGGAGTGAACATTAACTTTTAATTTTTTATTTAACTAGAACATGTATACAAAGAAACACCTGTTATGATGGGTAGTATTTATGTCGTTTTGCAACTTGAATAATATCGATTTTAGGAGTAAGCTTCTTCTTGATCTTGCTGACATATATTTTCTCCATGGAAACAAACCCTCCAAATAGGGAGCTGGGACAGATGAAAAAGTACTGACAGAAATTATTGCTTCAAGGACACCTGCAGAACTGAGAGCCATAAAACAAGTTTATGAAGAAGGTAAATGTTTAAAAGGGTATTTCTCCATCACCGTCATGATCACTTCTTTCATTTCTCTAAGAGGGCTACAGGACGGGACGGGAGGCGTGCAGAAGGTGAATTTTGGATGAGCGGGTGAATGAACTATCATCTCAGCCTTTTTGTCTCTGTTCGTAAGGAAAGACTTACTTTTTTTAACCTGGAAGTTTTATTGTTGTTTATCAGAACCTGCCAAAGAAGAGGGCATTTACTTTTGCACAGGGTTTGCAGTTAGCGTGGGGACATGCACATTGCTTTTCTTTTGTGTTAACTTTTCTGGATAAGAGGTTTTTCTTCCTTGAACAAGTTCAGTTTTATGTGGGACTTTTTGGAACCTGGGAAAAGAAACTTAGACCATTTCCCAAATCAGTGGATGAAAATGGATGCCTTCTTAGGTGATAGCATCAAATGCTTTGCAGTTTGATCTCTCTTTTTGTCATGGCTTGCTTTTTGTGGTACACTAAAACAAAACAAATATCCTCTCCAACCTCTCTTTCTGCCTGAAATATATGATGTGTATAGAATCAAGAAGATGAAATTAGAAGTTGGAGTAGACTGAGTTCTTTAGAAACCCCCCCCCAAAAGCAAAACCATTTATACACATGTTTATATACAGTATATATGGAAATAGACCCACACAGAATATAGATGGCATGTCTCTCTACTCCAGACAATCACTTTTGAGCTTTATTTGATAGAATAGGCAAAGCTCTCTTTCTGGGTAAGCGGGCACTGATGAGTGAGTGCATGCTGCTGGGTGACAGATGGGCTGATGGGAGGGCGTAATTTCTGGCGATGGACCCTCCTCAGCAGTGTTACTGAAGCCCTCACTGGCTATGCATTGTTTAGCAATGTGCTGGCTACCATGGAAAACACCACAGTTGTGTTTCACATAGCTCCTGTCCACGACGAGCTTCCAGTCTGGTTACCGATGACATGAGAGTTAAAGGATAGTAGAATCAAACTAAATTCGAGCTTCAAGGGCAGGAGGGTTTGGGGTCTCTGTGAAGGCATGGAGTCGGGATTGCGAAGAGGGCCTTAAGGGAAAGGTTATTGTTAGTTGCTGTGAGTCAGTTCCGACTCACGTCGGCCCCATATGTGCACAATAGAATGGCTCCATGGAGTTTCAAAGCCTCTGGCTTGTCAGACGTCGATCACCAGGCCTTTCTTTCAAAGCACCTCAGAGTGGATTTGAACCGTCAACCTTCCTTTTTCAGTAATCTAGTGTTTCCCGATTTCCTGTCACCCAGGAACAGAGAAAACTTGGTCGTTTTGTAAAGTGTCTACAAGGGGAACTTTGAAAAGTTTGTAGAAAGATGGAATGACACAACAGTGGAAAATTTCTGCAAACGTTTTGATCCCCACCCTACCTCCTACCCCGACACACACACAGATCCACTGTGGGAGAGAAGCTGATTAAGTGAGGTGAGGCTAGGGTACAGATGGGTGTGCCTGACTGGGTTAGGAATTTGGACTTGACTGAAATGAACAGTGCACAGTGAAGTTTTGAAGGAACTCCTGAGGAAGAAAGGAGATTTGAGTCCAGAGGCTAGGGAGACAGCTATGTGTGTAGGGAGTTAAGTTAGGCATTTAGCAATTGTGGCCCAGTGTAGGGCAGAGATTACTGTGAGGACAAGCCAATGAGAGGAGAAATAATTTGAAGCGATTTATGACTGTTCATAGGTGATAGAACAAAAGAAGGCACCGGAATCATTCAAAGTGTTATACTTACTTGAGTAACTGGTTGAGCTAAACCTTGAGTTCTTCCGAGCCTTTTAAAATAGAAGTTTCAGGCTTTTAAAGTCTGCCTGTAAAAAAAATAAATAAATAAAAGTCTGCCTGCTTTCAAATAATCATTAAATATTTACATGCGTTGGAATACCATCTCCTTCCTTCTGATGCCAGCTGTGAGTTCCGGGAAAGGGCTCAGCTTCTTTTGTAGATTCCAGTTTCTACTCTGGGTCTCTCTGTTGAACAGAAAACTCCCCGAGTGATGCAAACATTTAAGTGCTGGGGCACTGACCACAAGGATGGCAGATTGAACACAAGCAGAAGTGCTTTGAAGGAAGGCCTGGAGATCTGCTTCCAAAAGGTTATACCCCAAGAGAACCTCAGGGAGCCATTCGACTTGGAAATATATGGGGCTGCCTGAGTCAGAACTGAATAGAAGGCAACTGGTACTGGTAGTAGTACGTTATAGATTTGGGGTGGGGACATGCTATGAAATATCACCGTGATCATAGGAAGAAAATCCAGACTATAAGAGGATGGAAAATGTTTGGAAACTAATCATGTAAAACATTTAATAGCAAAATAAGACTTAGAATTATGGCTGATTTCAATTTAAGAAGCATTCTAGTACCATCAGGCATCTACAGATTAATAATTATACTGGCTGAGAGCACTGTGAAATGACTATGTCATGATTTAGACTTGAATCTAGTACTTTTAAGATTTCCATTTAATTTTTTATCCAGCTCCCCACTTAAAGTACTTGCTTTTAGTTTTTTGAGTGATTAGAGATGAAGCACCGAGGATTTCTATTGATGAAATATTATTTTTCTTCCATTTGATTGTGTGTGTAATTTTGTAGCGGAAAGAGACTGTGAATAAGTATGAAATGACTCTCTTGCAGAATACGGCTCCAACCTGGAAGATGATGTGGTGGCGGACACCTCAGGGTACTACCAGAGGATGTTGGTGGTTCTCCTCCAGGTATTGAGCTGGGCACTCTTTATAGATGGGTTAAAAATATCTGTCGCTGGCCTGGTCTGAATCTTTTGATAACTTTTGGGGCTAGCTGATTCTTACTGCAAGCAGTGATGCTTCCGGTTTGAATGAGCTTTGTGTCTGTTTCGGAATTTGCTACCTAAAACCCACAGAGGTTTCAGGTTGTAATAATCCTTTTTTTTTTCAGTCTTCAGAATTTGAAACTAAGCAGGCCACACAGGCTGTGGACAGTGCTGTGTGTGACGTCTGCTTGCAATAAGAAATACTGTGGGATGGTACTGTTTTGGAAGCCCCTATTGCATATTCTTCCTAAGAGAGAAACGTTTATGTGCGGTTTTACTGGAAGCCATTCCCCCTCCTTTTGAATGCAAACGATGAGCTAACACAATACTGTGACATTATCTCTGATAGACTAATCGAGACCCTGATACTGGAGTGGATGAAGCCCAAGTCGAACACGATGCTCAGGTGAGTGAAGCCAGACGTGATAATTTTATTAGGATATATAAATGTAAAAAGTCAACAGCAATAAAAAATCATAATGTGTATTGTAATAACTTCAAAGAATAGTCTTCTTTATGGGTCCTTTACATACCTTAAGACCCAAAGCAGTAAATTTCTCTCATTTTCATCTGATCGGCACACTCTTACTTGAGTTCAAAGCGGTGCTGTAATGAGCCAGCCCTGGTGGCGCTGTGGGGTAAAGCATGGAACTGCTCACTGAGAAGCTGGCGATTTGAACCCATCCGCTGTTCCATGGGAGAAACACTAGTCTCTCTGCTCCTGTAAAGATGTGCAGCCTTGGAGACCCTTCCATAGGGTCTCTGTATGTTAGCATGGACCCCATGGCAGGGTTTTCCTGTGTGTTTTCTAAGTGACACTATAGTGTAGGCCTGGGATGCTCACTGAAAGGCAGGTGGTTGGAGCTCAGCGGCCCCTCGGTGACTGAAAGATGAGTCTGTGGACTCCAGGAAAGATTGACGGCCTTGAGCACCCTCCTTATGGTTGTAATGAGTTGGAGTTGAGTTGGAATGGCAGTGGGTTTGATTTTTGTTTTTCAAATTTGGAATAAAACAAAATGAATGACAAATACAAAATTTACCTAGATGTGATATTTTTATGCAATTGTACAACACTGGGCAAACAGAAGATTTTACAGAAAACCAGAAATCGTTGAATCCCCTGCCACTGATACAGGAGAGGTTAAAGATGAAAGAATAAGATATTTCAGCCATGAAAGCTGCTTTATTACTTCATAGACGACAAGCTGTTTTAGTATTAGGAAAGTGCTCATTGTTTCCTTTGGATTCGAAGTCAGTTTGTACTTTTGTCAGCTGCTTTCCAGTGACTCTCCAATGGGATTTTTTACTTCAGTGGCTTTTAAATTCCAAGGTGAGCTTAGCATGGTTTATTAAGTAATCGAGTGCAGGAAGTAAATGTTAGTGAATTTGAAACAAAGGAAGCTGTTTGGGAACTGGAAGCTGGAAATAAAGGAGTGACGTGGGCTCCTAGAATCATACCTCAAACACGCCTGTCCCTGGCCACATGTTTCCTTGAGGAAAAGAGATTTCCAGGCTGTTAATCTTACACCACTGGGACAGGAAGAGCCACATGTCCACCTCCAGTCTACTCTTTTCTATGAGATAGCTAATGAGGGTGACCTGACAGTGGTGCTAAAAGGGACAATGAAGCACATTATTTTCCTTTCAGGTGGGCTGAGGACACTGTAATGACTTCAGGATGCTGTTGCATTCCATCCCTCTCCCCCTCCCCACCCAAAGTCAATAAAGTCAGGGATCAGGTGTTACTGAGAACTAGCTGTCTGCGCATTCGGTTTGGCTCTTTCCTCATCAGTCCCCCAACTCTTCGTGATCTCGTGCAGAGTGGGGTTTGCTTTGGCCCATGCTCAGAAACAGATGGCTAGGTCTCCCTTCCTAGTCTGTGTTAGTGGAGAAGCTCCGCTGAAACTTGTTCTGCCTCCTAGCAACACTCAAGCCCCCTCTGAAAGATGGGTAGTGTCTTGTGGCAGAGGCATTGGCTGGGCATCAAACCTGGATTTCACATGCAGCCAGCGAGAATGTGAGAATTCTAACACTGACCCCCCAATGGCCCCTGTGCCTCAGTATACAGTATCATAAAACACAAGTCTATTGTGTTCACATCCCTGTCGTCAACTTTAAAACTCTTCAGTTGCTTCCATTATCTTCAGGATACAATCCAAACCCTGCCATTATCTGCTCCTTGTTTATGTATGCCTCCAGCCTCTCTCTGACATGCTCCCCCTTTCTCCTTCCTCCCCCTTCCTTTATCTACTTCTTGCCAAAGTTCAGTCCTTCGTGTATGTACTTTTCAGCAACCCTTCCTGACTTCCCCAGTTTATATAATCAGCCTGGATTTGGTGATTATATAAAAACCACCTGGTAGAGTTCCACTTGGGAACCTCTGGTTTGGTTCCAATCAGTGCACCGTGTGTAAATCACCCCCTCTGTGTCATGGTACTACGATGCTGAACAGGTCTCAGTAGAGCTTCCAGACTAAGACAGACTAGGGAGAGTGGTCTGGTGCTCCACCTCAGAAATCAACCACCTCAGAAAGAAAGTTGAAGACCTGCTACCAGTGACTTCCATTTAGCGACCTAAACCTGCTTGAGAAAGCCCTAGCAACAGGGAATAGTTGATGAGAATACATGCTTCAGTAGTACCTGCAACCTTGTGTAGGATGAACCACCCTTGTTTAAATGTTTCTGTCCTATCTATATGCAAAAATATCCTAGAAGTAGTCATGAAGTTCTCAGGATTTTTATGTTCGCATTAATTTTTATTTTCTTATTTGTGTTTTCCCCCTCTCTATTTTACAACCACCCTCAAGAAATATACCGTTTTTTGCAGTTAAATTAGTTATTCTGGGAAATATATAATTTTAAAATTTAAATACTCGAGTGATTTTCATATTATCTTTCAATTTGGAAGGGGTTGTTTACATGACCAGAATTGTTACTGTTCATTTTTAACATTAATTTGGAAATTGAGGGTAAGGATGAATGAGCCCCATCTTTTCTTTTTATCCTCTGGAAATATAAGAAGTACATCCACACTATCATAGCCTGCATTCATAAACATCCTGCCATGGGACGTCTCAGTCCTCACACATGCTCCTGTGCTGTGCAGTGCAGTGCCGCCCTTCCCCGTGGGCACAAGGGCAGCAACAAGTACCGACCTGAGCAGATTGCTTCCATCTTGATCTAATCGGTATCTCCTTCCTGAAGTGCATAATTTAAAAGGTAGTCTGAACATTTTAAAGATTGAGTCTTTGGATCTTAATGAATCTTTCACATCTCAGTGTATTGACCTGGAGACTTGAAGACAATGTTGTATATACTTTTATTTTATTTTTGGAAATTATGGGAGCACTGGAGGGTGTATATTCCCATATCAACAGCTATTCAACAAGCATTAAGTGCCCCCGGGAGCGGTCCCTGCCAAAGGGCATCATGCTAGGTCAAGGAGAGGAACAGCGAAAAAGAAGACGCATGACAAGATGTAATGACAGAATGGCTGGACGTAAACAAGGGGCTCAACCCTGAGAACCGTTGTGCGGATGGCGCAGGACCAGGCCGTGTTCCCTCCCATTGTGTATGGGGCCACGTGGAGTCAGCGCTGACTTGATGGCCCTCAACAGCGCCATGTGCCAGGCACCGTGCTGCTCGCACAACCTTTTGACAGGTGGTCCCAATCTTTTAGAAATGTGAAACCGTCTTACCCCCAGCTTGGATCACGTCTCAGCTGTAAGAGAAAAAGAAAAGAGTTTGCTTTTTGTATGTGCTAGTAACATAGTACCAATCAACAGAAAATACAGACAACTTGACTCCTGGCTGATTACTTCTCTGGTCTCTACTCGGAGTTAACAACAGTGAGACTAAAGCAACAAAAACCACGCCCATGCCGTCTCGTTGATTTAGACTCGCAGGGACCCTGTACTGCGCGTTTGAGGCTGTCAAGCCTTATAGTTTCACCTTTTCTCCCTTGGAGCTGCCGGTGGGTTTGAACTGCTGACCCACGCTTACCCAGCAGTGCCACGAGCCCTCCTGAACAACAGGGAAGCAAGCAGAAGTTTCCTCCCTCCTGTGCTCTGGCTCCTGAAATACTGTCACTTAGGTTAGTTGTTTTGGGAACCTTTAACCTCGCTGTAGCGCTCTGTGTTGCTACTTTGACTCAAAGCAATCAGTATGTGAGCTTCCGAGGAGCGCGTATCGGGCATGACCAAGTGTCGGGTACAGAAGCAGGGGCGCTAATCTTGAGTGAGCGAAACAGTGTGATTAGGGACTTGGGAGGAACGAGATGTGGAGGGACCGTTCACAGACTAAGGTTGACGTCTTCACAGGTTTTGTTTCGAGCTGGGGAACTCAAATGGGGGACGGATGAAGAAAAGTTTATCACCATCTTCGGAACTCGAAGTGTGTCGCATTTGAGAAGGGGTGAGTGAAAACGTGCACATAGACCCGGTGTTTTTGTGAATTTGGGAGACTATATGAACCAGAGTGTCAAAATAGTTGCTAGCAGGTATTTACTGAATGGACAGGGTGCTTTTTTTCTGGTTCTTTTGGCCACGCTGAGAAAGCTCCTTCTCTTTGCCGTACTGTAGGTTTTACAACACTAGAGGTCCTCAGTCTACCTCTCTTATCAGGGCTCAGTGAGGCAGTGCTATTTCAGACCTCATCTCTGGATTCGCCCAGTACCTGTGCTCTTAGTTGAGAATGCGTTCAACGACATCTGTGGGAAAACCCTACTGAAAGTGACTCTGAAAACATGAAAGCTTATGTCTGCCGATAGGATTCCATGTCTGGTGTGTCAGGTCCTGGGCTCTTGCAATTTTCCTCTCCACTGTCCTTAGGGTTTTGATTTTCTGCTGTAGCTTGAAGCACATTTTTGTAGCAAGAATAAAAGAAAGTGACTATCAGTGTCTCCCCAAGTGGTGATACTGCCCTTAGGGGTTGTGGACTGATCCGTGGTGGGGGTGCAGTAGAGTTACCTACTATGCCTTACCCCGGGTTACCAACTCTGATACAAAGCTTTTAGCTACCAGTGGGGCACTGAGTAAGTTCCAAATCCATTTGGAAACCTCTAGTCTATCATGTTCTAATCCAGAAAGAGGGAGAAGTCTCAGCATTCCTTCTAGGTCTCAGTGGCTGTCACTAGTCAGAGAATACAGACTCCTCCTGGGGCTTGGCAGATTGAAGCTCTGAACTCTGGGAGAGTTCTGGTTAATGAAGAAGAAGGAGGACACGTGTTGGGTAGGATGATATCTGGCTAGATCAATACCGTCTTTCAGGTAATTCATAAATCATAAATTCATAATTCATAAATCACCTTATTTTTTCTAGTCTTTGACAAATACATGACCATATCAGGATTTCAAATTGAGGAAACCATTGACCGGGAGACTTCTGGCAATTTGGAGCAACTACTACTTGCTGTTGGTAGGTCATTTTGCAATGTTTAGCAGGGGGTTTCAAAAACTTTGTAGAAGAATTCCTTTCTCATTCAATTACATTTTTCCATGAAGTTTTTTGAAACTCACTTGTGTTTTAGTGATAAGAGCTCAAGCATTTTATTTGTGCATTTCTTAATTAAAAATAGAGTATATGAATATTTAGGTGAAGCAAACTCATATATTTCCAACTCAAAAGTTGCTGTGTTGTTGGGAATTCATGATTATCCGATTGGTTCATTTGATCCGATGGAAATACTCGCTGCCATTGAGTCAACACTGACTCCTAGTGATCCCTTGTGGATTTCTGAGACTGTAACTGTTTAGGGGAGCAGCCAACTATGCAGATCCCAGCCCAGCACATAACCACTGCACAACCAGGGTTCCCTAGTAACCACTTTCCCCCCTTCCTTTGAAGCTGAACGGAAAGTACTGTTTCATAAGGAACCGGAAACATTGAGAGGCTTGTAAATGTTATTTTTGACCCCTGTGGAATTTAGATTTCTTGTGAATAAAATCCTCTCAACTGACTGGGAAATAGGCGTTTGGTTTAGATAAAGAGCATCTTTGATGTGATAGAATAGGAGGGACCTTGAAAAAGTTTGTGGGGAAATAGAATAAAGAGATAATGGATTTTTTCCCCCATAAACTGTTTGAAACCCCCTCATATGCGATTCTACTTGTTTTCATACTAAATAATTGAGGATTTCATTTTAACCAAGTATTCAGAACAATCTGTAAAAAAATTGTGTGCCTGATTGTAGTTTTTATATAATCACCAAATCCAGGGCCTTGTTTTCGTATGGCTCTGGAGTGAAACCCTGTCACGTGGAAATGTTTGTTAAAAGTATTGGCAGCAGGCTAACATTTTTGGGTTTTCTGGAGAAAAAACTAAATTTATGCATGAATCTACACTTTAAAAAAACCTTTATTCCATTTAACCTTTATACGGTTAATAAAATTTTACTAGAAAACTTTTAGAGAGTCTGTTCATCATTCAAATTCACATCATTTCTAGTTACCGGTGGCTGTTTTTTTGTGTGTGAACATCAGAAAGGAGAAAATGATAACATCTCCCACAATTCAAACAGTTCATCTTGTATATTAAAGAGTTTTGATGGGATAGGTGTTCTGAAGCTAAGCCAACTGAGGCTTAAGCAGCCCAACACGACATCAGACATTCACATACTCAAAGAAGATAGACTTTTCTCATAGCTGTTTACCTGTAAAGACTGGATACGTGCTGCTTGCACTGTCTGATTCATGAATATTAAGGAATATTTAAGTTAAGATGATCTAAATTAAGGTGATGTCGTGGGGACTCATTGGGTTGGGATCTTCAAGGTCAGCACTTCTAAACTACCAGCTGCTCCTCGGGAGTAAGACAGGGTTTTCAATGACAGTCTTGGAAGCTCACAGGGGCAGTGCAACCTTGTCCTATAGGGTCTCTCTGAGTCAATATAGATTAGATGACAATGAGAAACTGAGTTACAGAAAAGTAGTCCTATATATTATAGGAAGATAGTTCAAGAATGAACACATCTGTCTTGAAGCAGGTGCAGCCAGAAATACCCCTTAGAAGTGAGGATTGGGAGACTTTGTCTCACGTCCTTTGGACATGTTGCCAGGAGAGACCAGTCCCTGAAAAAGGATATCACACGTGGTGACGCAAAGGGGCAGTGGAAAAGAGGAACACCCTTGCTGAGACTGACACCATGGCTGCAAAGATGGGTTTATAACAACCATCATGAGGGTCATGCGGGCCTGGGCAGTTTCCATTCTGTTCTACATGGGGCTGCTCCACATTGGAACCAGCTTGATGGCACCCAACAACAACAACAACAGTCCAAGGTCTGCCAACGATGAAATAGAGTATTCTAATCTAGCCTGAGGCTGTAAGAACTAGCTGGTGCCCCGGTACAATGACTGACGGTTCTGGAGGAATAGAATAGAAGGTCCAGAAGGAAAATGTAGAAAGAAATCCTCAAATTCTTAGAAAAGGCTAGACTTACTGGATGAATAGAGACTAGAGGAACCCTCAAGTTATTTTGGTAAGATGTCCTTTGAACTTGGAGCTAAAGCTACTCTTAAGGACCACCTTTCACTTGAATACTCGATTGCCTCATAAAATAAACTGCCCACGTCACCCATGAGTACTGTGCTTCCTCAAGTCACCAGCTCCATGAAAGCCGCAGGGTCAACCACTATCTGAATCTAAAGATGAGAGGCTAAGGAGGGCAGGGAAGCTAGATTAATGGAAACAACAAATCATGAGAATGCGGGCACCTTGTGAAAAACGTAACAAATCCTACAGAGCAACTTACATAAATATTGTTAATATTTGCTGGTAAAGTGTCACCTATGACATAATAAAATCCTACTTATTTTTAACAAGATGAGTTGGAGTAGTAGTCTTATATCCTTGCTTGAGTGTGTTAGATTAAAAACCTCTCAGGTGTCTGTATAATTTAGTGAACATGTTATTAGGAAGACTACCCTGTTTCCCCGACAGTAAGATATCCCCTGAAAATAACACCTACTTACAGTTTTGCCTCTCGCTGACATATATTTCGGCACCCCCGAAAATAAGACCTCCCCGAAAATAAAGCCCCCCGAAGCTACCGTAACTCTGGACTCTGGACCATAGCGGTGGGCGCCACCGTGAAGCTCACTGTTGACCACAGCACGGTCGGAGCAGACAGGATGTGCGAGGTCTCTTTTAATACAGCAATAAACACTAAATGTGTACCGTATTCTTCTTCATGGAAAAATAAGACATCCCCTGAAAATAAGACCTAGCGCGTCTTTGGGAACAAAAATGAATATACGACACTGTCTTATTTTGGGGGAAACAAGGTAGCATCTGGAAACTAGTTTAAGTCTCAGAAGCGACGTCTCAGAGCTTCCCTCTGGAGTTTCAGGGTCGGAGTGAGCCTCGGAGACTCGGGCAGTTCTGCCCTGTCCTCTTAGGGTCAGAATTGACTCGGTGGCAGTGAGCTTGGTTTTGTTTGTTTGTTTTAGTGCCTGGAGTCTCACAATATGACTTAGACGTAGAAAGAAATCTTACGGTATATCCCTCTTGGTTATAACCATGCCATACAGATAATTAAAATGTTCATTTTTAATTATTAATCCTATCATATCGAAATAACATTTGACTGTTACATTGTTTGTTTTCTCAGTCAAGTCTATTCGAAGTATACCCGGCTACCTGGCAGAAACCCTCTACCGTGCTCTAAAGGTAAGAGGATACTTGAATTTTCTAATTAATTCTAGTTCTTTTCTTGTCCTTATCTGACCTAGTTGTTATCTGCTCATGTTTTAGATAGCAGATAATTATTTTTTTTAACATGTAGCTCGAGTCTAGAACATTGTTGTACTTTATACGCCGTGCCAGCTCAGGTGAGCTTGATGGCACGCATGGACGCTTTTGAGCAACACCGCTTTCTCTTTTCTCTCTCCCAGGGGGCCGGGACTGATGACCATACCCTCATCAGAGTGGTGGTTTCCAGGAGTGAGATCGATCTGTTTAACATCAGAAAGGAGTTTAGGAAGAATTTTGCCTCCTCTCTTTATTCCATGATTAAGGTAATAGAAAAAAAAAAAAACCCCAGTCTGATGAATTATGACTCAAGTTACGATGAATTATGACTCAAGTTACGCCACTGTATCTGAGTAGAACTGTGCTCCTTAGGGTTTTCAGTGAGAGACTTTATTTCCCAGGAGATTGCCTGGCTGTTTTTTGTAAACAGGTGTTTCTGGGTGGACTCAAGCCACCAACCTGAGTTAACCTGAGTGAGGGGACTGCTGATGAATGGAAACTTAAAAAAAAAAGAGTAGAAATCCAAGACAAAGGTGGAAGAACCCAATTGTGCGAAGTTTACAAATTTAGGGTAGGATGAGCGTTATGTGCTGCAAAGCTGAGATAATGTTTCCTGAAGCCGGAATGGTGGCGATGGACCTCAAGTGAAAGCCAGGATACTTCCTCAGGTCGTACAAGCGTTGTTGAGTAGTGGTGACAGGTGACTCAGCAAAGCCAGCCCCTTGCCCACGATGGGGATGAGTTTGTTCTTCCTCTTTATCAGCTCCAGCTGTCTTGATTGGTTCCTCCTCTCCTTCATATCAGTTTCTCAGGTTTTTTTTTAAAATTGTCTGTTATCACCCTGCCTCTGCTATTTATTCTGAGATCAGGAGAGAACCAAGCCGGTTATACCTGGTTTAAGCAAAGAGCCTAAGTATCACAACGATTTTTGCCCTTTTGAAAACAAGGGACCCTGTGGCTTATAATAATTAAATTTGGCTTAAGGTCTCTTCGTTTTGTTTTTTTTCTTTTTGGATTGGGTCATGTGGTCCATGTGCCAGGATCTCGGTCAAGTTTGCTTTGTGTGTGTGGTGGTGTGGCAGAGCTGGAAACAGAAACTTAGCATATAGATCTATCGTTGAGGCAAAGTCAGGTACCCCAGCATTGTCCACTTTCCCCTAATCCCCTGCCCCCTGCCCCAGTGCTCCCCCAGCTTCCCCCCCCCAAAAAATTCCATTGCCTTCAAGTCAATTCTGACTCATAGTGACCCTATAGGACAGAATGGAGCTGCTCCCTAGCACTTCTGAGGCTTTATAGCTTTATGGAAGTTGACTGGCTCACCTCCCAAAGAATGGCCGTTTCGATTTTCAGATGAGCGCTTAGCCATGGCTCCATTTGTCCTCCTTAGCTAGACCTGTACCGTGTACTAGAAGTTGGTAGCTTATTTAGAAAGCTTGAGTTTAATATCGTTGTTCAGAAATGAGGGCCGGTCACACTCCCTGTTCTCTGAACCTACGTCCCTGAATAACATTCCCAATGTGAAAGTGACACACCTAGAGATGACCCGCGAGGGAGAGAAATGTCATAGGAATAAATGTTGTTGCCATGTATGGTTTAATGCTTTTTTCTCTGTGGCATCTGTGTGACTCATGGAGGTTAACAGAGTCCTTTTGGATTTCAGGGGGATACATCTGGGGACTATAAGAAAGCCCTCCTGATGCTCTGCGGAGGAGAAGACGACTAATGTCTTCGGCCGGCCACCGCTGCCAGCGCGTCCGCCAGCACATCTAGCTGCACTTCCATATGCTGGTGCTTGACCTATGCTGCCTTAGTCATACTACCCTGCCGGTGACCAAAGCTTATATGTTGTAGGTGAACTTATCTGTACTTCATTTTGATCTCAGTAGAGATGCCTCTATCTCTCTGGCAGTTATAGTACCAATGTGTCCTTAACTTTACTAAGTCTAGGGTCTGGGCCACTTGTATTTTACTTTAGGAGCCCAGACTGCTTTTAGCCATTTTGTAAAACCTCGTTTATATTAACTTAAATGTGTTACCTTAACCGGAACCTTAGCCTTGAAATTGTGAAAATTTGGGAGTGTTATTAATTGTTTTCTTTTAAGTTCAGCCTGTGACATTAAGGACAGTGCATTCAAAAGATGAATGAAAAATAAACATTTCATTTTCCCTGACTTGTGTGGGTCTGTGTTTAGAGTATATATTTGACGATGTTAATACCTTTTTTCAAGCCCATCAATTGACAGTGGTGTTAGCAGAGAATCGAATTTACAGTTGCCTCTTTGGATGATTGGCTTGAAGTGTAATGGCATAGACCATGACAATTCCATCCTCCACAGCGGGGGCGGAAGGTGAAGAGAGGTTTCTGATTATCTGCAGCCTGCTTACTTGGGGTTGTTGCTCGATAGAAATGCTAATTTTAAAACGTAACCAAAAATTCTGATCCCTACCTTCTTTCCTCATTATAAACTTGTTTTCCACTCCTCATCTGCTACCTTCTTTGAGATTGAACAAAGCAGCAGTGTTTTTGAGAGGAGCCGTCCTTTCCTCTCTTCCACTGTTTACCTTCCAGCTTCCTTTCTGCTTTTGCATCGCCTCTTCAGTTTACTTAAGACGTACACCGTTGCAGGTGTTTTTTAAAAGGCAAACTGATTGATAAAGTTCTTACTCCTGATAAAGTAGCTAATAAGTAAAAGAACAGTGCACTTATTAAGTAATAGTAAATAGATGGGAATTGTTTAAATTTATAGAGAATGTACTTGTTCTGCAGACTTGGCTGCTGATCCGAATACCCAGGAAGCCTTACAGCTTGTGTGTCAAGATGACATGGGAGTTTTTCCAAAGACCAATAAGCAAGTCTGAAACTGCACAGGGTTGAGAATGAATTACCTTTCATTGATAACATCTAAAGTCGTATGCTGCAAAGAGGACTTTTTTTTTAGAGCCTTACTAACTTTAGGTATGAGCCCCGACTCATTATTGTCATACTGCAAAATAAATTAACTAGTGAGCATTAATCTCTATGTAGTCAGTTGTGACCCTTCACTCAACTCTTGTTACAGAATGATTGTGATACCTGTTACGTTTTTTCAAACAAACTGATTATACCTTTATGTAACAAAAAGATTAGTTCATAAACTCTAAAAAAACGATAAATGAGGTTCCACTCCTCCTAACCCAGACACAGAGCAGACAGTAAAGCCTCAATAATTAAAACAGTATGAACAGATACACAAATGGACAACATTAGCAAATCACGTTGGAAATTCAGTATTAGTAGAGATGGGGCTTTTTATATGTTGTGTAAAAACAATTACTTTTAAGTAAGTGGTGTGCAACAATTGAGCAGATGGCTAGAGAAACAGGTTAGATTTGTACCTCTATGCCACACCTGAGGAGAATCTCAAAGTGACTCCAAGAATTTTGTATTAAAAAATACATCATGAATGTGGCAGTTATATAATTTCATGTCAGTTTGATAAATAGAATGTACTGGTGGAGTCTAGCCTGTCAATCAAGTCACAAGGTAACACCCGCCATGAGGATTCTGGGACTTCCTCCCTTCCTCTCTGGAGGCGAGACACACTCTCTGCCTCTCCTTCCTGCTGACAACCACCTGGAGCCACGCCGATGGCAGCGGAGCCCTGGAGATGCTTCCACCGCCACTGCACCCCAGGACTTTCCACCACCGGCCTGTGATCTTCCTGCATTCCGCATCAGTGCACATGCTGTGTGAGTCTAAGGAGGAATTCATGGGCTAATATTGAACTTAAGGGCTAATATCGAATTTATGGACTTGGTCTGACTTGGGCTGGGATGTTTTCTTAATATATAATCACCCTTGAATATAAACCTGTCTCTCACACATATATGAGTGTCTCTGGATTTGTTTCTCTAGTCAACCCGGACTAACAATGACCGTTTTAGAAGAACCAGTGGTGTGAGTGGCAAAACAGGGAGGGTAAAGGGAGAATAGGTAGGAAAGAGGGAACCGATTACATGGAAATGTGTGTGACCTCCTCCCTGGGGGACAGACAGCCGAAA